TCATTTTTTTAAAAATCGACAGTAATTTTCGGGCGACATCGAATCGAAAATGGTACTTCAATCCTATATTTAAACTAAAGGCGCGATTGCCCAAAAAATCAGAAAAAGTATATCCAGAAACTTTGACTTTGCCTCGCAATTTGGGACCCGTTACAACTTTTATATACCAGGAACGCATTGTTGATGGCAATACAGCATGGGCCATTTGTAATTATGTATGTGTTAGTAAGTATATACTGTATCGAATCTATATTCAATAATTATTCAAGATCTCTTGGTCTTTAATATTGAAGGATTTAATCCTTTGGTCCTCTTGGGTGAAGTTTTGGTGCCGCTCTTAATAAAAAATATGAGGGGCGACGCCAAACGTGCTTCAAAAAATTTTTTTGCTCTAAATGCGCATACAAATATGCATTTTACAAAATTCAATAAGCGTGTACCTGAAACCATAAAACATTTTTTTGGACAGTAAAAGTTTATTTAAAAATAGAGGCTGATTAGCAAAAAAAATAATGAACATGTGCGGTTTTAAAGGTTTATTCAAAACGATATGATTGTGGCGGGCTCTGTGACGTAATAAGCCCGACCAATCAGCTCCTAGAACCATTCAGATGACATAACGACTTGGCAATATTGCAGGAGAATGGCATTTATAACTTGCGTCATCTGTCACAGGCACTTGTCACTTTCGTGCTAGATGCAGTTAAACATCCCTCTCAAAACGTCAAATGTGACAAACGTCAGACCCTCGCGTAAGGTTGCCAGCTCACTTCTACGTGATTGGTTGTAGGTTTGTGACGTATTTAGTCTGAAGCGTTTCAAATTCGGACTAAAAACACAGCTTTTCAATAATTTATTTTGGGTTTATTTTACTCGCAAATAAAAATTGAGGACACACGGGTCTTTTTATTTTTAATGTACTTTGTGGATCAGAAATAAAAAATGAAGGCGGGATGACCCCCTTACGGAATTTTTAAGGAAGCTTATTAAGATTTATTATTTTTATTTTCATATTTGGGGAGGTGCTATTTTTGAATTATAAAATTTTAATATGTTTAAAGGGTCTACAAGCAACCCTCTTAATGTGCCTACAATTTTTAAGAACATTAAATTTTCTAATTATTTCGATATCCCTTTGGAGAAATGTAACTGTTGACGTAGTTTAACTATTTTTGTTCGTAGATACAAATTAGTTCCCAACGTCCTTCACGCCCTTATGGTCGTCTGTCTTACTCACGTGGAGTGAATGTGCCTATTTTTACAAGTAGCCTAGATATGTGGAAAATCAATTTCTAAACAAAATATAAAAATCACAAAGGGGACCACTGCAATTTATGCTGCACAGCGCTTCACTAGCTCCAGTTAATTAATCTTTAAAACATAAGAGATTGAACTAACGATTTTCCCTATGTTTAGGTGTATCCTTTCAATTTTGCAAAAAAATAAACAACATAATTTTTGGTTAAAAAAAACATAATAGAAGTTTGGAAAAATAGTTAGACGTATCACGGTAACTCTAAATTTGGACTTATTTTTTCGAATTTTATAGAGATAGGTAGATTTCTTTAAGGTTTGAACAGTTTACAGGCATTACATATCATAGGAAGTCTACAGGGTGAAAAAATTAGAGGGTCAAATTTCCCAATAAATGTTATTTCGTGGAACTGTGAAAGTCTGTACGTAGGTGATAAAATTAGTGGTTGTTTTTGTTATACATATATCATAGTGTAAAAAATTGGGTGGTAGAGAGGATCAAAATAAGCACTTTTTCCAAATAAACCGAGGGTCCAACGTGTTTCATTTGGGAGCCACCCTAAAAAAAGTGGTGAAATTCTTTTTTCTCAGTAGATAGCCATAAGAGTCACAAAGGCTGGAACGTCTTTGCATGGGTTTTGGGGTATGCCCTTTTCGATTTTTTAAAATTCCTACCACGAAAGGGCGCAACTCCTAAATGAAGCTGAGAAAAAAGTTCTAATTCCGACGACATTTCGTACCTATCTAGGGGTTTTTGAACCTGAATATCTCGAGTAGTAGTAGTAGTATTCACGTCGATAATTATGATACTTGGAATGGTGATTATTTATTGATATGGAACATTTTCAAAGATCCCACCACCTGCAGCCCCGCACTATCTACACTATCTTGGTAGACTTAAATCGTTAATTTTCTGTAATTTGTGACTCTTTCAACTAACTACATGCGAAATTAGGTGACTCACTAGTAGGTGGAACACACTTTCTGATCCGAAGGACCAATTCTCACATGAGTGAAACTTTTGTTTGAAAAGTGATTTTCAAAAACTGTTCGACGTTTGTTCCTTAACTCACATTTCTCTCCATTTTCGTTGCCCAGCCAAGAATTGTAGTGGAATTTTGTTTTCGAATTTATAAAAATTAAGTTCAGATTCATGATTTCATGTTCAAAAACCTCCACAACACCCTGTATACGCAGCGACTAGATTCGGAAATCGGTGTCTCCCGTCTGTCCGTAGAGATTCGGTTAGCTTAATTGGGGATATGATATTCAAAATGCAGACTAAGCACGAGGTCATTGCGGTGTCGTGAGAGATTGATTCCTTAACCAGAAACGAAGAAAATGAACCAACGAATACATATGGCCATGTTTCAAGAATAAGAATTCATTTTGTGGGTGGTAGTAAATCAGAAAAGACAAAAGGATAGTAGATAACATTACGGGGAGATTTGTCAGGCATTCCTTCTTGGGCTACGAGATAGTTCAGTACGTAGTCCAAGATATTAGTTTATTTCGAGCACTAAACGCCAGATTAATTCGTTTTTGGGCTGCGGAATCATTAACAGTATACATCTAAAAGTAATTTTGTTATTACGGGTTGAGCGGCCAGAAAGAAAGCTCGTGACAATCTTGCGGGTAATTAACACTGAAGTTATTTCGACCCTTCAATTTCGAGAAAGTTAACCACACCGTTCATCGCGAGAAATCTAGGCAAAAAGTGCCCCGAAAACAAATTGTACCTGTCGTGTTATGGATTCATCAAATTAGTAAACAACGTTAGTAGAAAATCTACTCCTGATTGGGGAACTTAAAAGTACTAAGCTCCAAATTTCGATTAGTTGCAGGAATCTCATTTTTCTTACAGTTGAATTTATCAGATACATCTTTTTTATTTCTTGCACTCAGATAACTAAAAAAAGGAACAAAGATGTTTAATTTTGAAATCCAGGAGGAAAGGGAGAAGGAATGTTTTTTTGCATACTCTAATCAAGTTAAAATTTAAAGCTAGCTGTAGCACAGATATCTAACTGTTTTACAGAAGAGAACATCCATTTTAAAAAACTGAAAGTTTCGATTATTTAGACAAAGAAAAAGATGATCAACCCCTTACTATGCAACCCCATATGATGTTAACATTCTAATTCTAACAAGAACCTAATATGCTAAGAGTATTAACAGAAAAGTCTAAGTATGTTCTAAATGCTTTATGATTCAATACAGAATACAACAGATTCTAAGCAAATTCGGAAAGGATTCTAATAACAGTTCAAGAAAATACCAAAGGGATTTAAAGGATTCTGCGAAGGCTCCAGAAGATTCTAGTGAGATTCTGAGGAAATTCGAAGCGGATTTTTAAACGATTTTAATTATACTCTTGGAGGATTCCATCGGTTCTGAAGATCCTAAATATTTCATGAAGACTGTGAGAAGATTCTAAGGATATTAAATGTGTTGAAGGTTCTAGAAGCTTAAAAGATCCCCAGAAGGTTCTATAAAAACAACCAAAAAAGAAGACTAGAATGAGGCCCTAAGAAGATTCAAAAAGTTTTAAAATCCTAATATGATTTTATTTTTTAAGAAGATTCTACGAAGCCGTAGAGAAGGAATTATGTCAAGAAGTTCATTTTATACGGCACATAATAAAATCTTACAAGTGTTTCTTTTTATTAGATTTAACTGGATTATTTCAAATATTACATATGGAGTAATTGTATTTTTTGAAATGGAAAATTGGGGCCTAGGTATTTTATTCCTGTTGACCAATGTAAAAGATCAACAAATCCGTGTGGGTGTGACTCAAATTCTCGAACTCATCTGAACTATACCGACAGGCAGACCACCTTTTATCCATTCTAGAATTATCGTGTTGACAATTCGAAAACACAGACAAAATCTGCGATTGGTGGTTTATTCGAATTATTCAAAATTGGTGTAGCAGATGAGAGTCATCAGAGCAACGATCCTATTAATTTTAAGTCGTTGAGGGAGCGAGCGTCTAACCTTTCAGCAGATTTGTTTACAACCATTTCATAAACAAATTATGACTGTAAAAACTAAAACTGATGACCTTAAAAAATCATAAAGTGGAGAAGGAAGGATGGTGGCACTTAGGGTTTTCACATATGACCCGGAATTTACTCTTAAAACACAATAAATGGCCTCAACTGCCATTTCTTTTTAACGTTCTTGTCAATTGAAGCATTTTCGTGCCCTCAATGTCACGAGCTTTAAAGATTATGGAGGAGATCAGCTCATCTCATTTGCATTACCAAAAAAATTGTGCAGATTAAGTACAATAATTCATGTTTTTGTCTTGTACTTGTCTTACCGCTTCACAAAAACCTGCAAGTACTTGGGCGTTTTGGCCCAAATTTACTTTGAAATGATTCGTGTCATATTTCACGTCACGTACATTTGAAATCTTAATCATATTTATCTTTAGAGAATCAATAATCTTAACTAATAGGTAACTGTAAATCGCATCCTTCCACTGATATTAAGTGGCACAAGTGCAAGCCGCTGCACTTATTAGACACAAAAAAAATGTTAATTTGTATAGAAAGTACCTAATGGAAAATTGAGTTACTTAATATTGCTTTTGAATTTTATCCTCTACATCGGAATGGTCGTTTGAATTAATGGCGTAACGCTAATGACAAAAATACTTACATAATTGTCATTACAGCGCGTAGATATTTCGAAAACCTAAATTGCGCCAATTAACAGTGTGAATTAATTACACTCACCCGCGTGCTCTCGGTTACCATTTTTGCTCGACTGGGCCCAAACCAGGGCGGCGGCGAAGAACGCAAACGTAAAAATGTTCATAATTTGTAAATGCATGATTTACGTTATTATTATTTACGCGGTGGAAAGCGCACTTATGTAGGTACACACGCGGACAAATCTGACGATTAACTGTACGCGGATAACTACCTGGTGTAAGAAGAAACTGAAAGTTGCGATATGAAAGTAGTTTTTGATTGCCATTCCGGTTCTCGATTATCAGACAAATTATACTATCTGCTGTTTACAATAATAGATGACGTGTGTTTGTTGCACTTGCTCATCATCTCACCTTTTTGTTTCACCAAAAATGATTTTTATGGGCGAGGTGAATCAGCAATGCAAAATTTCAATTAATTTAGATAAAAATTTATCTTGCTCTGATCGCCTACAGAACCCATTTTTCGGGAGATAATCCCCCAAACATCTTTATATACCCCTTTTGAACAATTTTCACAATGATAAAATAAAAGGACCTGTAGTCGGAAAATTTTTGATCAAAAGCGGATGGGTATACCCAAAAAGTTTGACCATTTAAGAAATAATCGCGTTATATAGCTTTACTTTCAAGAAGCAAGAGAGGGCATTTTTCATGGTTGTCACACGTATCAGGCACCATCACTTTGACCGAAAGCACGCCTTCGCATGACCTTGCGAGGAAATGTCTTGGTCATTTTTTTAGCAAGCGTTAAAATGATTTTTTCACAATTTAGATTCAGCGGATTTTTCCGATAAAAGTATAGAAACTGAAAAGTGGGATGCATTATGCGTTTCCGTTAAGAAAAGCCTGCCTAAAATGGGGATTTCACAATCCTATAACAAAATTTGACCTTTTAAACCCTTATACAGGGTGTTGTTACTCCAAGATGGCTCTCCCCGAAACGGAGGTATGTCCAAAAACCAGCAACGATGCGTTTGGCGGGTCCGTTAAGTTGGTCCCCCACATAGTGACCTGATAGTCCTATTATTGTAAAGTAATGCGCTCTTTATGCGCCCACATGCGCCACCGATAATCCCTCTGCAGCATTATCGTTTTTTAGCAGCCCGAAGATCCATTTCGGAGGGGTCAGGTATACGTAGCCCCCAACTACGTAACTACATCTGGTTATGCGCTAAATTGCGACACTTGAATTAAAGCTAGCGCCATGATAGTTAAGCCTTAAAAAAATTTTGAAAAAACGTTTTCAAAAGTTACTTTTTTAATGTTTTATGCCCTACATCGTACCTTTCATCGTGCGCTCAAATGCGTCGTAAAAAGAAATGTTTGCGCCGTTATGGTCTTTTAGGATCTCTCTACAATATACACTGTATCCAAGATAACGATCGTGGGGATCCCCGAAATCATAGAAGATACGACGATGGTTGAATAAGGGAAAATTGCGTAACATGCTTTAAAGAAAAACGGAACATTCTGATTACTTCCGAAATATGCCACAAAAACTGAAATTTCGCGATTTCGTTTTTATGTTTCTGATGTTATTAAGTGGTGCCAAGTAAAATTTTTGAAAATGGAGATGGGGGTGGCGGAGGATGAACATACGTTCTACCCTTCATGGTATTCGAATGAAAGGCCTCACCGATTTGAATTGGTTTCTACATACAAACTATAACTTTCCTGCGCAAATTTTGGTTTTTCGCTTTTTGACCATCGTCGTATCTTTTATGGTTTCCGAGATTCCCATGATAGACATCCTTATCTTGGGAAAAAAACCGAACAAGAATGTAGACCAAGTTATCTGAAAAATTAGGGCCGTTGCTAGCTCCTTGCTAAGTTTTCACTGCATGGGTGCAATACACCGCGGCGAGGGCGTTAGGAAAAAATAGACCAATCGCGCTAATAGAAAACAATGAAGCATCCCAGCAACTTTTTTCATCTTTGTGTGAATTATCCGATATTGATGACAGTGCCAAAGTTAAGAAATTGCAAGAATTCACATCATTAACTATACAACCAAAAATGTAGCGATGTGAATGCAGCGAAATCAACGATTTTCCGTAAGATTTTTTCAAAAAAATCAGACGATTCGTGCACGATTCTGTCGTGTTTTAAATCTTGAAGGAGAAGATTCTCAAGACCAATTTTTGTGACAAGAATATGGAAACATCCGGATAAATGTGGCTGGGTTATGAAGGAAATTTTGGAACCTTTTTGGTTCGAGGGAAATCCTACTCCTTTAGTGTAAATGATATTTGAAAGGTTGGAAAAAGTACCCGATCATGTAGAAGATGACTTAGAGAATACTCTCCAGACAGTTCCGATTACGATTCTGATTGAATGTTTGTGATAATAATATAACCATCAATGTACGAGTATATGCGCTAATAATATAATGTGTTAATAAAGTCTTTATTAATTATAATTCCCTTATATAAGACTCGATTATATCATCCAGTGACGACACTTTTTCTGGGAAAATCAAAGATTTTCTTGGTATATTGTTCAAGAATATTTTCTTCTCGACTTTTTTAATACTACTCGTCAACAATGTCTTTTTCGTCCGACAGAAAAAGGTTGATCCCGCCCCTATTGTCGGCGGAGTGCCAAGGGTTGCGGCAAAATGCCACCCGACATTGTGACTTTTTCTACATGTATTTTTTGACCGACCGGCACGAAAAAGTAAATTTCGAATATCCCCCCGTTGGTGTAGGCTCGTCACCACTCCGAATTATTTTCAAGGATTGTTGGACTGACTCACTTATTGAATTATTTAATTCCACCCTTAAAAGGACAAATATACATAAACGTTTAGGTGCCTATAAGTCTAATTTAATTCTCTTACACTCCTCTGTTCACCATTGTTCATATCAAATTAAATTTTGCTCATATTTAGAGTTCTACGAAGCTTTGGAACCACACTATTAAAAGGAACAGCTAAGTATATTTCGACGTAGTTGCTCCAATGATTACCTTCATCATTTAGAATAAATTACATAAGAATAACTGCCTTCTGAGTCAAAATTTTTGGTTAAAATAATATTCATTCAAATATACAGTGCGATTCGTTTAGAAGTAGACATAGGGATTTCCTATGTCAACTTTTAAATGACAAAAATTCTTCTAAAAGACGCCTAATTTTATGCTGTGGCGCACGCATTTTGCATTGTCATTCTGGATTTTAATAAAAACGACAGTAAATAATGTTTATTTATTGTCCCGCTCTTGTTCTGGGCCTTCAACAGGCTTTCGCCCAATTGTTATGGGATTCTCTTCCACGAAAATTAAAACATTCAGTTTTATATAAAGTGATCAACACGGATAATAAGTCTCTTACGCTCCATAACTATTACCGGTACTATACCAATCAACAAGATAAACTTTTTCTTCACTTGACATAGGAAATCCCTATGTCTTCTTCTAAGTGAATATCACTGTATACCTACTGTTACTGTTACGACATTTGCATGAAACAAAAATTATTTAGCTAATTCCTGCACCCTCGCCATTATTTAAGAAATAAGATCTCAAAAAATTTCCATATATAATATACAGGGTGAGTTTTTTTTTCATTTTTAACATTAGGATCTCGGAAACCGTAAGACATAGAGATTCGGTTCAATGAGGAAAGAGTTGTAGTTTTAAGAGCTTATTCAAGATATGCTTTTGTTTTTAAAAAAAAATCCACAGTTTACTTGATATGAGCGAAAAACAGATTTAGTGATTTTTCATTTAAATATGTTGTAGAATCGTTAGTATTAGAAATACAGAAATATGCAAAGAACAAACATCGTAGATTTTTTTCCGCTTAATAAGATACATTTATTAATATTTATTCTTCTTTTATAATTTTCGAATTAATCCCTATGTCTACTTCTCAACTTACATTTTTTTAAATGGTAATCTTAGTTGGCTGTGACATTTTTAAAAAGTGCATTTTTTTCTGTTTACAACGATATAAGGTTCATTTTACTTACTTTGACAAATAAACATCATACAGAACTGTTTGTATTATTAAAAGAGTAGTAAAAACAGATTTTGCTATGGGAAACATTTTTGTTCTCTTAATTACTGTCTATTATAATGTTTAACTTGCAGTTTACATTTAGCAAGCCTTATATCGTTGTAAAGAGAAAAATTTGTCCTTTTTAAAAATGTCGAAGCCAACTATGACCACTATTTAAAAAAAATTAAAGTTTGTTTTATAACTCAAAAATTGTAAGATCTAAAAATAAATTAGTATGTTGATCATGTTAAGCATTAAAATATCTAAAACTTTTATTCGTGTCATTTTGTTGTATTTCTAATAATAACTATTCTACAACAGTTAAATGAAAAATCACTAAATCTGTTTTTGGTTCATATCTAGTGAACTGTGGATTTTTTTCAAAAAACAAAAGCACATCTTAAATAAGCTCTTAAAACGACAACTCTTTCCTCATTTAACCGAATCTCTATGTCTTACGGTTTCCGAGATCCCCATGCTTAAAAATGAAAAAAAAAGCTCACCCTGTAGGTATACCTATTTTTTCCATGATTTACAGCTCACTAATTAATTGCTCTTATTCACATACAATTGTAATTTTTAGCCTCAGGCCTCACAATTTAAGGTTCAAGAAGTTTCGAGGTACCTACTACAAAGTTTAACAAAAATAAGGTTTATGGTTTTATATTCAATTAATAAGCCTTGAAGATTGAAACTGCAACATTTCAAGTTTCAAATTTCAAGATGATCCAAAACTTTGAATAATATTCAGTTTTAAAAGTAATTTCAAATGAGCATGAGAAAAGTTTAAAAACGAATACGAATGGGATGTTGATAAAATTTGAGCAGAACCTAATTTAAGGGAAAGTTAAAGCAACATGGTGGATAACTTAAAGACGGATTTGAGAAAAACAACTTTATATCGTAGAAAAATTTGAGTCAGATTTAAAAAGACGAACTCAGTGGAAACTTGACGCGACAGGATGAGAGTGTAGAGGAGAAGAACCTCAGAAGAACCTAAGGAATTTAGTAAAAGGGAGGTTGAGGTAATTCAGAGGTACTCGAAGATGTCTTGACATAAATCTGAAAGAGACATACGAAATTGGGCGTGGGAACGTATGGAAAATTTAAAGAGAACTTTAAAGAAAGAACTTTAGGGAGGTTTAACGAACTTGAGAGAAAGTTGAGTGAGGATATTTTGTCGATCGAAATGACTCCTTTTGGAGATCAGTGGCTGACGTGGGGAAAGAGGTAAATGGTATTCTAATTAAAAGTATCAACAAAGGAACTGTTCTCTACCAAATACCGCCCTTCTTTCTTACCCCTTATCAAAATAACGGGGTAGGAGGAGAGTGCTTTTATCCTTCATGGTATTATAATGACAGTTTTCAATTAAAGCAGTTAATTTCTATCAACTATAGTCCTTCTCCTGGACCCCTTATCGTGATAGGTTATAATTCCTTACGTCTAAAGAGCGGATTGTCGAAGGACGGTACTCTCAAAGAGCGGAAAGATGGTCTAAACGAGACATATCTCCTGGTGATGTGAATACTGAATTGTGTTTGAGGAAACTGCATTTATTTGAAAATCTCCATGGAGGAAATTATTTGTGTTTTATTCAGTACTGTATTAAGCACATATCTTTAGGTACGCAGTCGATCTTTAAACCCTATTAGACCTGCACACTACTTCAAATGTGGTAAATGTGGGAAAAGTTTAGTGCCCTCTGTATATACCCAATCATACCAGTTCGGCTACGGCCAGCGAAAGTGCAGTTGTTTAGTCGCCTCTTACGACACGCAGTGCACTCTGCGGTAGGAGTATTCTTTCCCGCCCCTACACGGGTAAAATAAAATTCGAGGGCGACTTATATGAATAAAAATAAAGATAATACTGCTACACATTAGACAATACCTACATTTTTCAGAAACATATTTGAGGCACCTGACCAAATGCTCAATCGCAGTGCTTTTTATGATTTTACAAAATTATGAAAGAACATTTCCTTAGTTTTGGAACTATGTATTTACCATCATCAACATTCTATTTCGAATTTGTTACTGTGAAATGATAATTTGGAATCGCTTTACAATTTGATTTTGATTTATTATTATGTTTATTTATCTTGGTGATTTAGATATAATGGAAGAACTATATAAACTATATAAATTCAACTACCTATTTAATATTATCATTGAGATAAGAATAATCTTTTTTTTAAATTTATCTGCAGCTATTTTCTGATAAAGAAAATGAAGTTTGAACTTTATCTTTGGTAATCGCCGTATAGGTTATTAGAGATTTTTAAAAGATTCCAGACTTCTAAAGCGTGTCGATTTTACCTCAAATTTTTGGACGATTTATGAACAGACAATAGCGGGAAAATGGTTAACCCTATCTATTACTTTTTGAAATGCATGAAAACTATATATCCTATTTTTTCTATTCAAACCACACGATTTTACAATCGCGCGGTTACCGCATGTCTGAATGGACCCTAAAAAGGAAACCCTTTTCCATTAATTACGATTACGTTTGAGTCCATCTGCGGTGGACATACTTGTACCCCTTTAAATGCTGTTTTATGTTACAGATGAACAATTTCATACACCCAATACGAGTCCTCGATCTACAATCCTTTGATTTTGCTACCCCCATGCAGAAAAATGTTAAAAAAATACATCAACAAACTTTATTATACCTACAATTGCCAAGTAAACCACCTTATTTATTAACAGCACCACACCACTGCACTATAAATGCTATAATATTAGAAACATTAGATTCTGGTGATATTTTTGCCGCCATATTCAACTTAGACCAAACGTCTTTGTTGACTCTAAACGCCGAGCTTTGAAAGGTCAGCGCTTGCTCACCAATCGGATAACCAGATACAATGCAAGGTAACTCACTAATTTGAAGGCTGGACTCGTACAGCTCTCTATCGTCCAAAGGCAGGTTCTACAAGTACAACACCTAATAGCCGTTCTTTTACAAAATTCTGATACCTGCTCCACATTTTGATCCATGCTGACTGTCAAAACCCACTCGCGGATATTCTCATGAACCTGCAACTCATCCCTCAAGTATAGATCGCTGGGCAAGGGGACGTTGGATGGAAAATCTGTCTGCATCAGGTCAGAGTGGTCGACCAGTTGGCTGTCACCTTCCTCAATTGCCTCGCAAATGTCCAGGTAGTGATTTAAGAACACAAATGCCTCGGACAATCGACCGTCGTCTCGCATGTCCACTCCTGAAACAGCTCCGGAGCATGGCTCTCAGCACAAATTAAGCGCACTTACCAGCTTCATAATACGCCTTATCGGCCGGAATAAAGTCGGTGTATCTCAACAGCGCGATCGAGATCTTCAAAGCGAGCTGCTTCAGCGTGGAAACTTGGCGACAGGCGGTCCTTGTCGCGTAGAAATGGGCTATCAGTAGCAAATTTTGGAAATGTGCCCGACTTTCGGCAGGTATATCGCTTGTTTTTTGCAAGTTGTTGTTCTAAAATGTTGGTGAGCAATGTAAGCAATAATGCGCTAACCTACCAGATCGAAGAGCATCTGTCGTAAATTGACCCAAATCTCAAAACTACCAAAATCGGACATGCCCGGCTGGGAGAATACATCAACGGCAATTTTCGTGTAAATATTAAAGTTTTGCACAATAGCCGGCGTACCGTGGCTGTGGTAAAGTGCGAGTGCGTCGCTGGTGAGACCGTTCTTGAGCAGATACGAGGCGTACAAGGCGACGTACTTGTGAAGGACGGGCTCGCTGTGATTCTTCGCCTTTTCGATGCATCGCATCCACTGTCCCTGCTCCGCCAGTAAATCCAACGCGCCGATAATATCGATGTCTGCCAACTGCTCCACGTTGCCTTCCTTCAGCAGTCTGTCTTTGTACTTACTTTCGACGTAATTCTCGTAAGCCGGATCTAACTGTTTGGCCAGCTTCTTCGCCTTCGCCCAATCCTCGGCCTGCACGAAGCAGTCGAGAGCCTCCTTCATCAGGTCGAGGTGCATGTATAGTTGAGCTGCTGCGTCGTACTCTCCAATTTCGATTAGGCGAGGCCCGATCAGCTTGGCCATTACCAACGCCTCTTGGTCGTACAGAAATTTATTTAGCATATCAGCGGCGCGAAGAAGTGCTCGTTTGATGATCGGAGGGTCTGCGTTGCTCGCGTTCACCTGTAAAAGGCAGTCGATCGCTTGCCGATGCTGACCAGCAACCGCCCAGTCGTTTGCTTGCGTTAGAAGCGACTCCAGCGAAACATCCGATGACTTTCCGTAGCTGGAGTTCATGTACTCCGCTTGAAGCGAAGATAGAAGCGAGGGAACGTGATCCTTGCAGATACGCATGGCGTCGGTCCACATCTCTAAAAGCTTACGTTAAGGGTTGCGAAGAACACCAATGCTATTACCTTCATTTTTGTATTTCTGCACGATCACCTCTGGCACTTGCGCTTTGAGGAGCAAAGATTCGAACTCCGCAAATTGCTTGTCTTCGAAGCACTGCGCTGCTTGGGCCTGGAGCACCTCGACAACGGAACTTGGATCGTGAATTTCCGCAACTCTGAGCGCGTTTATCCAATTCTGCGCATGCGTGTACATTAGAATGGCTTCTTTGGGTTTACCAGCAAGAACAAACTCGGCTTCGGCTTCGGGAAATTTTCCGTCGTCTTCAAGCGCTATGGCGTACTTGTAGTGAACATCAATCGTCTAAAATTGCGACTGAATGGGGTTCCTGGACGCTTACCAAAGATAATTCTACACTAGATAGACATCGCTTGTATACATTTGAAACGCTCAATTTTGTCCGCAGATTCAATGTTTTTGTTACAATAGTATCGATTATTAAGCGGCAGAGTAAAGCGATGCAATCTTTATAGGGGAGTCGATGGTGTCCGTCTGTCCGTGAACACGATAACTGTCAAACGCTTGGATTGATTTAATTCAAACTTTGCACAGTTGGCCTATATGCCATATGTAATAAGCCAATTGAAAATGGGTCAAATCCAATGACTGGGTCACACCGAGGTGCTCTGCCGCTTTTTTAAGCGCTCTTTATGGGTTTATTTGACCTTCACCTGAAAATATATAGGAGTACATACAAACTACACCTGTTATTTGTCGAGACACGTAAAAGGTGTCGTGCTACTAGGAGAACATAATGTACGAAGAGGTCTTTTTCTAGCTCTGTCAGAATTATTTCAAAGTTTTCACTGGATTTAAAAATTTGCCGTTCTGTATCAGGATCATATGATGTGCGAGGAGGTGTTTTTTTTCCTAATACTACACCTGTTACTTGTCGACAAACTTATGTAAAGGGTGTCGTGCTACTAGGAGAACATAATGTACGAAAATGTCTTTTTCTAGCTCTGTCAGAATTATTTCAAAGCTTTCATTCGATTTAAAAATTTGCCAATACTGTATCAGGATCATATGAGTGCGAGGAGGTGTTTCTTTTCCTAATACTACACGACTATAACTTTTGATTGAGTAGTCTGATCGAAAAAGTACGAATTGATTTGGATTCTACGCACCAAAATTAATAAGAAAAAGTGTTTTCCCGAGAAATTTTGGTGTAGTCGATTTTTGGTAAAAAAGGAAGGTTATACACTGCCTTTTTTGAGCCCGAAAAAAATTGTCTCAGATCGACCCGGAAAAAATTTTTTCTTATAGAATGTGGCCTGTAGAATCCATAATTTCAAACAGTTCCAAGATTGGGCTACTAGTTCAAAAGTTACAGCCCTTTGAATTTTTTTTCGAAATTGGTTTCTAGTCTATAACTTTTGATTGAGAAGTCTGATCGAAAAAGTACGAATTGATTTGGATTCTACGCACCCAAATTAATAAGAAAAAGTGTTTTCCCGAGAAATTTTGGTGTAGTCGATTTTTAAAAAAAAGGTACACTGCCTTTTTTTTGGCCCGAAAAAAAAATTGTCTCAGATCGACCCGGAAAAAAATTTCTTGTAGAATGTGGCCTGTAGAATCCGTAATTTCAAACAGTTCCAAGATTGGGCTACTAGTTCAAAAGTTACAGCCCTTCGAATTTTTTTTCGAAATTGGTTTCTAGTCTATATATAGGGAGTGCAATCCCGCAGCAAAATATCAATCCCGGTATTTGCGGGATCGTTAGATGTTAATCCCGCGGGATCCCGGTATTTGCGGGATCCCGCAAAATCTTAAATAAATTGGCAAATAAGCAATTTTGTGCCGTTGACTTCTGTGTTAAAATAAATCGCTAATTATCACAATATTCAACAAAAAAGTACCTTCAGCCTAACTTAGAACTCAAAAAAATCACCTGTAAAGCACAAAAAGGTGCCTCAAAAATCATAGTACATTTTTAACGAAAAAAGTTTAACAATTATTTTAAAAATAATTTCTTCGTTATGCGTTTCATTAATAAAGCAAACAGAGTCATCCCCTTGGTCGACAAATTCCTCACGGCCAGTTGCACAAAAAAGATAATCCAGGATTATTATTTTTAATCCGGTATTAACTATTAAGACATTTGATTGGCTTTATACTGCAGTATGCAGCCAATCATATGTCAAAATTCTTGTTTAATCTCAGATTTGGGAAATAATCTAGGATTTTGATTATAATTCACTTTCCTGCAATCGGCCGTCAGTCCCGCAAATCTCGCGGGATCCAGGTGCGGGATTAATTCCGCAAAAATGCTCCGGGATCCCGGTGTTTCGGGATTCCGCAATCCCGGTATTGCATTCCCTACATACAACATACTTTTTTTGCTACTTTGTTCCATATATCGTCTATATAGAGCAAAATAACAGGCCCTTCTGTACTCAAACGGGCTTCTAGTGGGGAAGTTGCGGGGTAGTTTTGATTTCTTTGATTTCATATGTTTTTTGGGGTGCTGAATCCGAATCTGAGGTTTGCAAACAAAATTTGATGACACAACATTGAGAAAAAAGGTGAAAAATATTGTTTTTTATTTAGTTTATTATTAGTAAAGTTTAAAATGATCGATCTCGCGAGTAATGTAACTGAAAATAGACTTGTGCCTGCACATCTACACTATAGCAGAAAGCTCGGCAGAAAGCTTTTAGTGAACATTTCTCTCTAGCTATTGTAATTGCTGAGATCTCAACCGAACAACCAGCCCGACAGCCGGCCATAACTCCGAACCGGACTGGTGGCAGGAATTTACTGAAATTGGTTAAGCATGCACAATCTTTATGTATTTAGGGAAGTATATGCAGACTAGCAGTTTTTTTAGTATATGGGATATGGCCTGTTTATGTGGATCTCGGTAAATATTAAAGTAATTTTCTAATCATATGTTTTGAGCGTTGGAACAGATTGGAATCTTACGATTTTTCATTGTTGCGATTGAAAAATATAGTGTTTTAGCTGTTATTTTCATGTTTAGATTCCCGAGTATACAAAATAGCTTTTATTTATCCCAATTTGTTAATATTCCACCATACCACTTTGCGCACCCTGACCATATGCGCTGCTTTATTCAAAGTTGTAAGGGCTGTTGATGTTAAAACACTTGTTGCTGGCGAATTGAGATTTTAATATACCAATTTCTTTATGTTTGCAGTGCACATTTAATTAAAGATATGTAATATTTTTGGAAAAAATATAGCTACATGTAAACTAATTATTTTATACTTTCTTAAATCTTATTTATAGTTTTTATTAAGTTTGATAGGGGGGAGGGGGCCCAGTTACCTCGTTAAAATGTGCACATTTGAAAACTGGGTCTACAGTGTCAGGGGAACTGAGACCACAGGCTCCCAGTTTCCCTAATGTTCAATTATCACAAGTTTTTTAAAATAATAAATTTGATATAGATGAGGTGAATATACCATCTGTGCTAATTTGTGGTTCTGCGTCAGTCCTAATAATATTTAAGGGCAAGAACATAATTGAAACCTATATAAGCAAAAATTTGGAAAACCAAATTAGCGTTGCTGTTTCAAAACGCGGGTGGATGAAGAGCGAACTTTTCTGCAATTGGTTTTTGAAATTCTTCATACTTACCAAACTTACCAGAAGGCAGACCTTTTGTACTTATTTTTGATTTGCAAAGATTGCCGAAGAAAATAATATTATCTTTTAAATTACCTCCGCACACAACCCACATTTTGTAAACACTCGACGTTGCATTTTTTAAAGCCTTTAAGACAGCATGGGATATACGAAAATATAGAAAAAAAAAGAAAAGTTATTCCAAAGAGTGTTTTTTTAGACATCTTAAGCGAAACATAGAACGGTCTATCCGAAAATAATTTAATAATGGGTAACCTACCCCAAACATAGTTTAAAATCGGTCTTCCACTAGCATAAAGTCTTTTAAAAATATTTTGCTAGATTTTGTCGAAGAAAGTAAGCAAAAGATCGTCCAGCCAACAAAAAGACGGGGACACCAAAGAGGGACTAGAAGAATTACAAAAGCCCGAAGAAGAGGAGTGAATAAAGAAAGCTATAAAAGAAGAAAGGCTTAAATCCAAATCAATTTCTACTTTCTGTTCAAGATGTTTCATTCTTGTTCAAAATCGAGAAGACATATATCCAGGACAGATCACTAACATTGACTTTCCATTATATAGAGTTCAACACGTGGAGTGAAGTGACTATGAAAGTCATGCTATAATAGAAAAATTGATCCAAGTTAACAAACGAGGAATGTTTAAAATTCCAGATTTTGCATAGTTTTTCTAGAATTTACTTCTACCAACACAAGAATTCAGTTTTTTTTTCTTTTTTGTTCATTTATGTAATAAAACTTAATTTGATTTAAACATAGTTTGTGTGTTTTATTTACAAGTGCCGTTTCTCCTACAATAGTTTTGTTTTAAAAATGCCAAAATTTGGCACAAACATCTATGGATACCAGTAAAGGGCCCAGTTCCTTCAATCATGACCTATTCGTTACGCAAACTAAACATCACAGACCCAGTTGTCCCGAAATTAGGGTAACAAAATTGATGTTTTTTTGAATTGTGTTACTTTTACAGAAAATTAATTATGCCATGCTTGAGTCAATACATTCAGGTATACAATACTCTATTAAATTTTCAAAAAATTGCAATAATTACGTGAAGAAATATACGGTTACAAACTTTGAAAATGGTAAAACTAGGTTCCAGTTACCCAACTTGACCTTACTTAAAGGAAATGAAAATTTTAGGAAGGGCGTAACTCCCAAATCTATGTGAAAACAAATGTGTGTTGTGGCCCCTCTATCACGCATTTTTTACATATTTAGGTACCAAAAAGAAGCTTGCGAAACGGATGCGCGAGCAACCATACAAGGTGTAGCATTCCTAAGACCCTCTCGAATCGTGATTCTTTTGCCATAAAATATCGAAAAAATGTAGGAGCAAAATTGAATTCAATTACTGTCGTCATGTTTTAAAATATTTTTGGTCACCAATGGCGCGCTGTATTCCAGTGGCATATTTTATTGAAACATTAGGCAGCACTTTGGATACCGGTTAAGTGTTGTATTGAGGCACAGGCTAACGCCTCTTCCCTTTCACTTAATTTTGTTGTCTTTTAATGAAAAAAGAAATGTTTGATTAACTTTCGGTAAATGGCATATTTCAAATACACCAATCCCCCACCCCCATCCATAAACAAATTATAGCTTTGGATCGCCGAGAATACGAAATTTCCACTATACAAAAAGTATGAAAAACGCCGAACCAAGTCTGCTATTTTTAAAACCAGGTATCAAATTCTGGACAGAACAGCTTCCTAGCTCACGCGCTTTTTGTACATTTGTTTGTGGCACGTCGTTGGAACCTGGAATATAAAAAAAAGTTTTTCGCCGTGTTACATTTTTAATGCCTAAGGCCTAATACCCGTTTTGGCGAAAAAAATATTTTAGTTTTTTAAAGTAGTTAGAGCGCCTAGGTAAAAGTAACAAGAAGTTGGTGAAAATTTGGTCACTTATTCTCTGAGAGACGCACTTTCTAATGGTCAAAAGAAAAAAGTGTTCCTATGTGCCGTTTCTGAGATATGTGACAGTAAAAACAGGGAATTTTAACATGGGCTCTTATGGACACAGACTTAAATGCGATGGGTCTCATTAGAAGCGAAATTTTGTGACAAATCTAAATATGCACGGAAAAGCACATGTTCATGATGAAATAAGGAAGATATTTACCGCCGAAGCGGCGTCTGCTCTGACGCGGCGGCACGCTATGCAGCACGCGTTTAAATGTGATGACTTTTCCACTAGGTCTAGTATATAGCTGAGCTAGGACAATCTTTTCCTTCTTCTGCTGAGCACTTTTCTTCACAAAAGGCATGTTGTCTTTCAGAAAGAACACCAAAACCAGCGATATTTATAAAGGCCTGCACACGTTTTGTTGACACACTGATCGGATCGAGATCAAGATAGCGGTTGGGGATCTCTGATGCCAACATCGAAAAACCAAATCCACTACACCGACTTCACGTAAAACGCCAAATTGTTTAGTTTCCCGGCTTTTACATACGTCTCGCATACGTTTTGATTAAAAATAAATATATTCGTTTAGGATTTACCGCTTACACTGTGAATATTTAGTCGCGGTGTGTCGTCAACATTTAGTGTGCAAAGGTTTGAAACAGGGTCGAAAAGTAGGGAGACTAGTCAAGTTGACTACTGTATATACCTTTTTAAAATTCATGTAAGACGTTTGCATTGTGCTGAGGTACAAAATACCACTCATACCGTATTTCTAATTATGTTTCCTTCATAACAACATTTTTTTGGGGACGTTTACCGTAAGTAATAGATAGGCCGAGTACATGACTTGACTTCAGCCGAACGCGCTCTAACTACTTTAACCTTGACACTTTTTTCTCAGGTTTTCTGTCATAAAACCTACCACAATAGTTGTAGGTTGTACACAGAAAAATAAGGTCTTTACAATAATTAATAGAAATTTTGAATTATTTGAAAAAAAAGTTCACCACACCAACATTTTTTTTCAAAAATTATTTATTTTTCGTTACCGTATTCCTAATATACAATATATCCAAAATTTAAACGAAATCTGTCGAGCAGTTATCTCTGGATACGTACGTACGTACATACAGACGGACAAAAATTTATTCTTTAATGGTTTGTTAAAATGTCGACATTTGATAACATTTTGACAATGTCCAACAAAGCCAGGAAGTTAAAAATAGAAAAAAATATGGTTAACATGTTGTTTTTAAAAAACTGTTGGGTAGATGTACAACTACTAAAATGAAAATGATACACGAAAAAAGAGGTTAGCAAATCTAGAAACTTAAAATAATCATGTGAAATACCTTTTATTTATTCTTTTATTACTGTTTTAAAAATTTACCATTGTTCATGAATAATTTTATTGTTGGGTTATTACTTGCAAGTGTCACAGTATTTGTTTATTTCATTGTATGTATAAGTGTATATTGGTTAATTAGATGCTATGTGCCAATAACATGTCGAAGCCAAGGGTAATACGCAAAGCAGAATCAGATAACAGAACCAAATACCACACACTTTAAAAAAAACAATCATTTCTTCACTATTGGACTGGAGTCAAAGGGGTGTGTGGGGACAGGAAACAGTGACCTTCACCAAAAAATTAGGAAAACGAATACAATAGATCAGTGGAGACCCAAGATCTACCACCTTCTTACGCCAGAAGATAGCCCTCGAGGTTCAAAGAGGGAAATTATACTACGAAGTATACATGACAGTTAACTATAAAATATTATAGTCAAATGATGCAATAATTATAAAAATCAATAAACGAAATTACTATAAAAAAAATTAAAATTGAATTTTCCAACCTTTAGAAAAATATGGCAAAAAGTGAAAATCGGCTACTATTTTCCAAGATGGCGGCCGTAGCACAGCATGCACAAGTATTTTCGTATTTTGTTACGGGGTGCTAGTACTACGCTTATCCAAAGTTTCCCCTGTTAGGAAATTATTTCTAGGCGGCGGAGTATTTTTGCCTAATACCTATGACTGGCCTATACGCACGTGAAAGGGAAGAGGCCTGTGCTTCAGTTCAAAATTTAAGCGCCGGAGTTAGTTTCTCTGGAAAATAAATTCGAAACAACGGTCAAATTTTGAGGAGAAAACAAGGGTATACTATATGTTGTACAAAAAATAAGTATTTTTCAATTCCTCAATAAAATATGGGGTGTTCAATTTAAAAAAAACGCAAGAAATATTCTATAGAAACATTTTTGCTCCTACATTTTTCCCGATATCTTTAAAGGAACTATGATCCGAGGGGGATGCTACACTCTGTATAAAGTATGTATAAGGGCTACTTGTTTACAATACTTACAACGTACCAGAAAAAAACATGCATTGTATTTGTTGAATTAACGTAATTACGTTTTACCATTCTATCTCCGAGAATAGAGCGCAACGTATCGTAAATTCGCCTATACACTTTTTCCCTTTCTTTTAATTGTAATTTAATTTATGAAAATAATTAAAGGAATGTTGAGTAGGTCATGGAAAAGATAATGTAACGCGTCTCGTGTGACGAATACGTACGATTACGGATTCCGAGTATGGGCTTCATGGCAAACGCCCCCTGTATCTTCTTTACGGAACTAAATAAGCGGTTAACAACTTGTCCATTTACGCTGTCTATCTCGTGTGGTATTATGTTTGCGCTTACCTTAGACGTTAAACTTTTACACAATTGAAACGCAAAATCGAACTGGTAGGTTTCGCACGCGTAATCCACGCAGCTTTCCAATAAGCCAAACTTGTTCAACAACTTAATGGCGGACTCGATGGAAAGTGTGCGCGCCCAGAGGAATGCGACTTGGTTCGCCGCCGCAGCGCCTCCACTCTGCTTGGCAACGCGATATGCCTCCTCCCACATTGACAAGCCCCTATACATGTTCATTGCCGATTTCCAATCACCCGCCGCCAAATAGTGCACCTCGGCTGCCCGGTGCTTTCCTTGCGTCTCCAACTGCTGCCCCAAATGCAAATGGGTGGTTTGGAGCAGGTCGGGGTGGAATTTCTCCACGAGCCGGACCTAATCAAAAACAAAAAGTTTAGATACAGTCGCACCATGGTGCGACTTCACCATGTTGTCGTACTGATCCGCCCGCTTATACATGGCGATGGCCAAATCGGGCGCGTCAACCGATAAGTAAAGCTTCTCGGCGTCGCGATACTTCCCGGCATTTTCAAGCTGCTCGGCCTGCTTCAGATACATCTCCGACACCTCGCTCCGATCCAAAAACCGCGACGCTAAACTGTAGGCCTTCTCCCACTGCCCCGCCTCGTTGTACATCTCGGCGGCCTCCTTGTACAAACCGGCGTTTACGTACATCTTTTCGGCGGTGGAGTAGTCCTAGAATAGTGAAAGTGAGGACTGCGGCGGAAGAGGGGTTATTACCCGGGCGCTTGCGAAATGATTGCCGATCGTCTGGTAGTACTTCTCCGTTGACTCGGACTCGTCCAGGACTTGCACGATGTGCACGGCCTTCTTCCACTGGCGCGCGCCGATAGCGGCGTCTAGAGCTTTACGCGTGCGACCCGCCTCGATGTAATGGTTGATGGCGGCGTCCATTTGCTTGTTTTCGTACAGATGGTCGCCCCACTCCTCTTCCAGTTGTACAACCTTCTCGGGCTCCACGCTGCGAGCCAAAGCGATCGCCTTGCTCCACACCTTTCCTGATTTTACAATTAGGAATTTGCCGTAACCGTGCAAACTAACCTTTTTGGTAGCACTCCATTGCCAGGGACGATTTTTGGAGTTTCTCGTAAATTTCGGCGCAGCTCTCGTAGAGTTCGTGCTTGAGAAGGATCTTGAGCACGTTGGCTACCAGACCGCTGTCATTTAGTAATTCTTTGTGCTGGATCAGGAGAGAAGAGGCGCGCACGAAGCAGTTCGATTTGAGATAGAGAGTCATCGCCTTCTCATAGTTGCCTTGTTTCTCGAACACTTGGCCAGCCTTCTCGTTTTGCCCGGTGCGTAGTAGGAGAGACATGTAATCTTCTTTCAATTGGGCCAGTTTACTATATCCCCGTTGTTCTGCCAATCTACGACAAATGGCCTGTAGAATCCCTAATTTCAAACAGTTCCAAGATTGGGCTACTAGTTCAAAAGTTATAGCCCTTTGAATTTTTTTTCAAATTGGTTTCTAGTCTATAACTTTTGATTGAGAAGTCTGATCGAAAAAGTACGAATTGTATTGGATTCTACGCACCAAAATTAATAAGAAAAAGTGTTTTCCCGAGAAATTTTGGTGTAGTCGATTTTTGGTAAAAAAGGAAGGTTATACACTGCCTTTTTTTGAGCCCCGAAAAAAAAATTGTCTCAGATCGACCCGGAAAAAAATTTTCTTATAGAATGTGGCCTGTAGAATCCATAATTTCAAACAGTTCCAAGATTGGGCTACTAGTTCAAAAGTTACAGCCCTTTGAATTTTCTTTCGAAATTGGTTTCTAGTCTATAACTTTTGATTGAGAAGTCTGATCGAAAAAGTACGAATTGTTTTGGATTCTACGCACCAAAATTAATAAGAAAAAGTGTTTTCCCGAGAAATTTTGGTGCAGTCGATTTTTGGTAAAAAAGGAAGGTTATACACTGCCTTTTTTTGAGGCCCGAAAAAAAAATTGTCTCAGATCGACCCGGAAAAAAAATTTTCTTATAGAATGTGGCCTGTAGAATCCATAATTTCAAACAGTTCCAAGATTGGGCTACTAGTTCAAAAATTACAGCCCTTTGAATTTTCTTTCGAAATTGGTTTCTAGTCTATAACTTTTGATTGAGAGGTCCAATCGAAAAAGTACGAATTGTTTTGGATTCTACGCACCAAAATTAATAAGAAAAAGTGTTTTCCCGAGAAATTTTGGTGCAGTCGATTTTTGGTAAAAAAGGAAGGTTATACACTGCCTTTTTTTGAGTCCCGAAAAAAAAATTGTCTCAGATCGACCCGGAAAAAAAATTTTCTTATAGAATGTGGCCTGTAGAATCCATAATTTCAAACAGTTCCAAGATTGGGCTACTAGTTCAAAAGTTACAGCCCTTTGAATTTTCTTTCGAAATTGGTTTCTAGTCCATAACTTTTGATTGAGAAGTCCGATCGAAAAAGTACGAATTGTTTTGTATTCTTACGCACCAAAATTAATAAGAAAAAGCGTTTTCGCGAGAAATTTTGGTGCAGTCGATTTTTGGTAAAAAAGGAAGGTTATAACCTGCCTTTTTTTGAAGCCCGAAGAAAAAATTGTCTCAGATCGACCCGGAAAAAAAATTTTCTTATAGAATGTGGCCTGTAGAATCCATAATTTTTGGTAAAAAAGGAAGGTTATACACTGCCTTTTTTTTGAGCGTCTATAGAAACGGTTGTAGCCTCAAATTGTAAACAATTTAACAATCTACTTTCAAAGCGTATTCATTAGTTATTTTCGACAAACTGGTCCTTCAGGGTTAAAATCGTTAAAATCTAAAAAGAAAACGAAAATTCCTCGGTTTTTAGTATATTTGACTATGTTGCGTTCGCCGCTCGAAGTCGAAAACTTGAAATTATACATTGGGTTAACAACATAAGCAATCCCAAAAAAAATCAGAACTACCGGATTTGACGCTTGGTACCCCCCATTTTTAGGAACAAAGTTACTGGACTATTAAGGGCACGATTAAGACGTGGTCATACCTGACAGCCTCGTCCCATTTGTATAAGGATTTGTACATCTCCAACGCACCCTCGATATTGCCTTGTTCTAAATAAATATTTTCAGCGGTGTCCAGATCTCCATTCAGAATGGATAGTCGCACCCACACCTCCGAACAGTTACTAATCGAATCGTTTTGCTTCTTTGTAAATTCCTCACCGATTTGCGTAGTTTTTTGTAAGTAGAAGGCAGATGCAGCATCCCCTAAAGCTGCATAGCAACGTTCGGCCAAAACTAAGTTTTGCTGTTTAAGTGCTATCTTAGAAAGGTTATGCCACATAGCCTCAGCTTCCCCAGTATTTTCGATGGTCTCCAAGAAGAGGACAGCTCGACCATAGTCAGTGTCGTGAATTGCTGTACCTAAACCGGGGCATGAATTATGTAGTTGTTTCCGCGCGCTTACCAAACTCCACGAGACTTTCATCCAATTCTACGGTGTGATTATTTTGACCGTCTACAACAATGGCCTCCGTTTTGCCATTGGCGCGTACGATATCAACAACATCGCCTTGTACGTTGAGAATGGTAGGATGATCGGGCACATCGATGTTGTACCAGACAGCCAAACAGCCACCTGCTTGGGCCACGACAACATCGCTATCCTCGACCCACTGCACGAAACTAACTCCGCTGTATATACATCTTTTCTCGGACTTATTCACGTCTACCAACAGTAACCTGAAACATTAAAGTTACTAAAGGGCTAGTATACCCGAAGGTACCTCTGCTTCTTATCCCTAAACAATAATCGGTGGCCCGTCTCGCTCAGTTCTAGCCAGTCAATCTTGGAGTCATGACTGATTTGTGTAACTGGCGCGCCGTTTTGCAAATTTAAAACGCAAATCGTTTTCAAATCCAATAGATACGCCATCTTCTTATTCTGAGTGGACTGTTGGCGTTCGTTCAGGCGCACGCTGATAACGTGAGGGTTGACAAATTCAGTTCGCACCGAGCACAAGACCTCATGACTGCCGTACTCTATCAAAGACAACTCCCCGGCGTTGAACACCAAGCAAACGTTGGGATTTTCGAAGTAGTACTTCTCATGTTGTCCCGTATCGCTCCACGCCACCTCGCTAACCTTATTATTGTCCAAATCGGCCACCAGCAAAGTTTCATCGGTACGCGCGACTGCGTACCCATCCTTCCCCATGATTCTCACGTCTTCGATTTCGCGCCCCGAACTCGACTGCAAGATCACTCCTCCCCCTTCCGCGTTTAGAGGCTTAATTAGGACCTGATTGGGGCCGACGTAGGTTACCTCAAACTTATCCTTCCACACGCTCCTTTTGAGCACGGTTTCGAATAGGTAAAGGGCCCCGCAGAGTGTTCCGCACGCAACCCGAGAACCGTCCCGTTTCCAAGCGAGCGCGGTTACGGAGTACATATTTTCGATCGCTTTCGAAGTGGATTCGTCCCAGATGGATTTACGGGAATTCCAGGAGAACACTCGAATTTTATCGAAGCTGCCCACGACAACCGCCTAAAATGATGGATTAATGTTAACGGACGTGCACCCTATACAACTCATTTTATGAAAGAGGGGGTGGGGCTTAAGGGCACCCCTTCAAGGTAAATTATTATGCTCTTGGGCAAGTAGTTGCAAGTAGTTTAAAACCGGTGGAGTGAATCCGGACGGATGGACCGACGATTAATTAAAAAAGAGCGTTAAAACTAAGCAACTATTATAAGAAAGCGCTGCAGGTGAGATAGAAAGACGTAAACAAAACATGAAAAGTGGGATGAAGGGAACGTATGGGAAAAACTTGAGAACTAAGTGCAGAAGACGGGATTGAGGCGTGAAGAAAGAAGTAGTACAAAACAATAAAAGTAGATGTAAAGTAAGTACGTTCTCAGACGTGAAGCAAGAATGGAGTGTGAACAAGGCGTAAAGAAGGCCTGAAGAGGAAGATGAGGAACCAAAATGAAAAAAGGATAAAGACAATGGAGGAAGGATGCGTGAAAGAAATATTTCGGAAAAGATGAATAAAAAACAGTGCATGATGGAGGCACTGGGTGTAAATGAAAGAGGTGCAAAGCAGAGAGTAAAAATAAAAGAAGTAGACGTATGTCGACAAAAGTAATGTGAAAGAAAGATGCGTGAACGAATAAGAAAGCCGGACGTCATGAACGAAATATGACTGGTGTGTGAAATAGAATACCTAGGGCCTAAAGAAAGCAAGCAGTAGGCGCCAATGAATTGTAGGTGCAATATCAGAAGGATTTAGGGCAAGCAAAAAGACAAGAAAAAAACCGTAAGGAGGAAGAAGGTTTAAAGGGAAAGAGGCTCGATGAAGGATGCGTGCAGATAAGTATAAAGTGTAAAGTAGTCGGGAGGAATGGTATTAAGGCGCATTAAGGAGCAGCGTGTTGAGGAAATATGCGAAGGATTTAACATAAACAGGGGAAGGAACGAATTTAAAAAGCTGGGAAACGAAAAAATTAAAAATTTTATTGAAAAATATAGAAAGAAAGTTGATAAATTTGAGCCATTAGGTATAGGGGCGAGTTATTCTTTATACCTACTCGTACTACCACAACCTTCCGAATTAAGACCATTTGTGATCAAACGGGTCTCTAGAGGGAAAGTTGTGGGGCAGTTTTGATTTCTTTGATTTTACATGTTTTTTGGGCTGCAGAATCCGAATCACTTTTTATGGATACCCTGACGACGTCGGTAAGAGCACCAAGCGCATAGAAGGACTGAGAAAAGCGCAAAGAAAACAATCCCGTAGGAGAGTTTCCTTGCAAAAATTGTTTCACAGTAAGCTGTGGCGGATGCTGATATCTTAGTTGTCAGAACAGCTCTTTTGTTGGCCCCTTCAAATGAATATGTGAAAGTGGTGGAGGAAGATATCGATCTTTTAGTAATTTTGATTGGCCCTTGTAGCTGTGAAGTAAACAATGTATTCTTTTTGAAACCAGGAAAAGCAAAGGCAAAATCCTCTACAATCCTCATCTTGCCGCAGACCAATATTCTACTTTGTTTAATCAGGGAAATCTGAAATTTGGAAAAGCTCTGGAGGACGATATAACCGAAGCTGGAAACGTGTTTCTCATAACTCTGGATGCGAAAAGACATGAGACTAGCCTGAATGATACAGGAAATATACAGGGTGTAGAAAGTTTACGCACAATAGGGATGTCAATGCTAATTTGTGCGTCTGCTAATAGTAGGGGAGCTCAGTAGAAGATTTTGGGATATACTGGAGAGCGTCAGATTAAAGTAAGGTGGGCTGACTACGTGTTGAAAAGGGTGCATTTCAATAATCTGACAATTTTAAGAAAAAAACGTTACCTTCACATTCTCGAGCGCGTTGGGTTTTTTTTTATTTCGAAGGAAATTATTCAAGAATAACAAAAGTAATATAATCTGCCGCCACACGCCAAAGTGGAACAAATTGCCAATAAAATTCAGTCCGTTGAGCAGTTGAAGCATGTCGGTTGACTGAGACCATAGGCGGACGTGGCATAAATTGTACGTACAAATCTCGAAATATCTGCCGTTTTATACCCTTCCGTAGAGCCCCGTCAGCGTCAACTCTCATGTTTCATTGCTCCATTACGTTTAAAGGGTCTTCAAGAAACCCTTTAAATGCACACAAAAATTGCACCCCTCTCTGTTTTACAATTACGACATTTTTCTTTAAGTTCAATTTTCTCATTATTTTCATATCCGTGTGAAGAGGTGTAACTTTGGGAGTGCATTAATTATTTTTGTTTCTTTGCTTGATTATGTTTAAAGAGTCTTCAAGCAACCCTCTATATGCCTATCCACCCTCCACTATTTTTGAATTACGAAATTTTTAAGGGAGTTCAATTTTCTAATTATTGTTATATACGTTTGGAGAGGTGTAACTTTGGGAGTGCGTTAACTATTTCTGTTTCATTTGCTCGATTACGTTTAAAGGGTCTTCTAGAAACCCTCAAAATGCGTATACAAATGTCATCCCTCTTTATTTTTGAATTACGAAATTTTTCAGGGAGTTCAATTTTCGAATTATTGTCATATACGTTTAAAGAGGTGTAACTTTGGAAGTGCGTCAACTATTTTTGTTTCATTGCTTGAATACGTTTAATGGATCTTCAAGCAACCCTCTAAATGCGTATACAAATATCACCCTCCACTATTTTTGAAGTACGAAATTTTTAAGGGAGCTCAATTTTTGAATTATTTTCATATACGTTGGAGAGGTGTAACTTTGGGAGTGCGTCAACTATTTCTGTTTCATTGCTCGATTACGTTTAAGGTATCTTCAAGCAACCCTCTAAATGCGTATACAAATATCCCCCCCCCCCCCCTATTTTTGAAGTACGAAATTTTTAAGAGGTGTAACTTTGGGAGTGCGACAACTATTTCTGTTTCATTGTTCGATTACGTTTAAAGGGCCTTCAAGCAACCCTCTAAATCCGTATACAAATGTCACCCCTCACTATTTCTTAAGTACGAAATTTTTAAGAGAGTTCAATTTTCGAATTATTTTCATATACGTTTGAAGAGATGTAATTTTGGAAGTGCATCAACTATTTTTGTTTCTTTGATCGATTACGTTTAAAGGATCTTCAAGCAACCCTCTAAATGCGTATACAAATGTCACCCCTCACTATTTTTGAATTACGAAATTTTTAAGGGAGTTAGTTCAATTTTAATTATTTTCATATACGTTTGGAGAGGTGTAGCTTTGGGAGTGCGTCCACTATTTCTGTTTCATTGCTCGATTACGTTTAAAGGATCTTCAAGCAACCATCTAAATGCGTATACAAATATCACCCCCACTATTTTTGAATGATAACATTTTTAAGGGAGTTTGTTCAATTTTAATTATTTTTATATACGTTTGGAGGGGTGTAACTTTGGGAGTGCGTCAACTATTTCTGTTTCATTGCTCGAGCTTGAGAAAAGTAACCGATGATGACAGTTCGGATTACAATTCTGATTGTACAGTTTGCCATAATTCTGTATATCTATAGGGTGTCGACAATTTTTTTTTCTTAACTCATGAAGTATGTAAACAACAAATTTCATGGGAATTCTCTCCATTTTTATTGTCCGGCCAAGAATTGCATTTCGGCATAGGTACCCCAAAACCCATTCAAAGACGTGTCAGCACTCTTTTTAACTCCTATGGCTGCTGAGAAAAAAATTGAAGAGGAATTGCAAATTTCAACACTTTTTTGAGGGGGGTTCCCAAACGAAAAACGTTGGACCATCGATTTATTTAGAAAACGTGCTTGTTTTGATCTCCTCTACCACCCAATTTTTTTGTATCTATACTTATATGTAACTCCCGGTATATGCGCTAATAATGTCCAAAACTAAAATAGAAACTCTTCTGATGACAAACCTATTTCATGGCTCCTAAAAAACACTTGGTTTAATTAGAAAGATGCTTGATTGAATTACTTCGACCACTAATATATTTTTGGACATATAGAGAAGTGGCGAAAGTGCCTAAGAACTGAAGAACGTAGGTACACTCAGCTTCCCCTTACCTGGACCAAAGATAATACTACACTATCTTTGACTGGACTAAGTCAACAATTTCTCAAAAAGTAACGTTAAGAAGGAGCACTTTTGATCTAGTGACGACCTTCGTGGGGCGAATTTTAGGGTTTAGGGCGTGAAATATTCCAACCACGGATTTTGGGGAAGCAAAAAGATAACATACGGATAATACGGAGGCAATTTTGCGAAGGACGCACTCTCGACCCGCTACTACCAGTACGTTATATTCTTTTTTGAAACGAAGAGGCCCCAAAAACTAATTTTTAATAGCTTAAGAAACATTACCTGACCACTAGGACTGCATGTAGCTGTCGTAAACTCATGCTCAGAGACATCCTTCGAGTAATCGAACTGCTTCAGCATTTTCGCCTGATTATTATACACAACAATCCGTTTATCGCAACCTCCAGCAATAATTTGACCAAGCGTCCAAACCAAAGCGAATGGCGGTACGGAGTGTGTGAGGACTCGACCGCTCGTCTCTCGCTCGCCATGCTCGCTACTTACGAAGTACCGAATTATGTTACCGTCAACGTGGCCCGATAAAAATCCGGTGCCACGCAAATTTGGCGCTAGTGAGACCACCAAACTGTCGGATGAGTATAAAGTTTGAGATTTGTTGGACTTGACATTGAGGGCGCGCACCTTCCCATCCGCCAACCCGCACACCAAGACACCAGCGACCAACCACGTCGCGCAAATGACGGGGCAGTCTTGCAGAAACTTGTTCGTGATTGCCTGCAAGTCAAAATTGAATTCTTCTTAAATACAACCACCACCGACCTTCTTTTCCCCCCATTTTTCCCCAATCTTGTACACGTAAACAATACAATCACTTTGTGCAACCGCAAGCTTACAAGAATCGGGACTAAAGCAAATATCTTTGATAAGGTACGATCTCTTTCCCGCCTCAGACTCTGCTGGTTTTGTTGTGAATTTGTCCCTCTTCTTTCCGGATTCATCGTACAAGAAAATTTGGCGGTCAGTTGTGGCGACCGCCAATTTTATACCGTTGGGCGACCACGCGAGCGCAACTACCCTCGACTCGCTTTGCTAAAAAAGCTCCACTAGCAGAATCTGCAACAATTAATTGCTCACCTGTGCTTCAATAACGGTCTGAATGTATTTCAGCTGCATTGTTAACTGAAAGGTGACGTTTGTTATTATGTACCTACACCGTTACTATGGTTACAATTAATCAATAGAATGAGCGCGGCAATCAAACAACCCCTTGTGGTAATTAAAAATATTTTATTTAGTCTTTTATTACTATCCTTTTTATAGAACTAGAGTATTTCTTTTTTTTAAATAGCAGCCCACTAACACATTAGTACAATATGTATAAGATAAAATATCACAAAATGCAACCTAAGCACAAACAACAAACACAACTACAAGGAAAAGAACTTGAGAAACGCCGACGGCGGTACCGGACTGGGCGGTAGGAGGCCGCCCGCTTCTTGCACCCTCGCTCGAAATTCGGGACACTGGTCGGCAATGCAAGGGTGACCCAGCGAACGCCAAAATAAGCAGCGGCAGTGACGGCATAATGATAATGTTTCCGCGTATTGTCTGTCTTCGCGTAAACCAAATGTTCTGGAAAAAAGTAAATATGCTCGTCTCCAGTTTTTTTAGCTTAAACAAATGCTTTGGCAGGCAACACATTATACAATCAAGAGTAGGCAAGATTCAGATTCAAAAACCTTGTTAGTTCACATCCTGGCTCACTTGAAAAGCAAAGGAGAAACTGTGGATTTGAGAGCAGGTCAACCAGAAGCTCACAAATGCCTTCTATTCATTATGATTACTGAGAAAAAAATTAAGAAACCCAAAGTTTGTGACATTTGGAGGCGTAGATCCCAAATGAAACATTTTGAACTCTTGGTTTACCTGAAAAACATGTTTTCGTTGTTTCTCTCTGCTGCCCAATTTTTCTTTGACATGCTTGCCTGTTTTATTACTATCTTCAGCTTACCTGTTCGGCTCCACTCGCTTTGCTTCCTCGCCTCTTGCTCAACTTATTCTATCAGATTCTTCGATTGCGTCAGCTTCTTCGACGTTCTTGTTTTCCTTGTCATTTTTGACATCTTCACGTTCTTGGATTAATACGGCTTTTACAACATATTCGCGTTCTTCCGCTTTCTCAGTTTATTCATATTTTCTGCTTTTCCAACTCTTGCAATCGCTTTGGTCCTTTGGCTCCCCAAGCTTGCCCGTTTTGCTATCCCTCCGTCATTATCTCAAATTCTTATGCACTGTCGCATTTTTCACCATCTTCGACATTTTTTTCTTTAGCTTCCCTGACGCCTCAAACTTCCTAGAATTCTTAGTTTTCCTATTCTCCCTCAGTTCCTTCAGACACTCTTCAAGCATGTTAAACTTCTTCGCTTTCCTGAGCATCCACTTCTTCATCATCTTTGTTTTTTCGAATTTTTGTTCCGTCTTTAGTCTCTTTCTCTTTAGACTCGCCGCGTTTCCATTTCTTTAGATTTTGCGGATTCTTCGGTTGCTTCGTCCATCTAATATTGTACTCGAAGTTTCTAAAACCTTTAAATTCTTTTGCTATTGCGTTCTTCCGATTTTATTTCGAAAGTTTCATGACTTCCTCCAGTTTTTTCTTCTTTTTTCTAGTTTGCTTCGGCCCTTTCGAGATCTTCAGCTTGCTCGGTTTCATTGACCTTTTTGCCATCTTCGTTGTTTGACCTCTCTAGACTCCACGACTCCACAAACTTTTCAAGGTTTACGGCACCCTTGGCATTTCAAACTTCCTCGACCAGGAAGGCTCTCGATTGCTTCCGTTTCAAAACAAGGTCCACCTTAATACAAATTACTGGAACCGTTTGACGCTTTTGCTTCTTTAACTCTTTAAGTTCATTTGATTCCACGATTTTCGTAGCGCTCTTTTTCCGTTGGAATTCTCTCTTGCCTTCAGCTTTCTTTACTACTTTTTATTTTGGCTTCCTTGCCTTGTTTGATTTCTCTGACTTGGTCAATGTGCTTGCATCCTTAACTTAACTCCCTTGACTCCTTTGCATTTAGGTCATTTCGCAACTTCTTCGCCTTTCCCAGTTTCAGGAGCATTTTGACCGTTCACTCCTCGTTTTCCTAAACTTGCTTGCTTGATTATTGCGACTTGCTCGGCATTGTTTCATACATCTTCTTCTTTGACAGTTTCCGTCATTCCTCTTGCATCCTTTGTTGGTCCTTTTGTGTTATTTTGACTTCCTTTGATTTCTTGTAGTCCTCCGGTATTCCGTCTTCTTCTGCTTTTTCGATTTCAACGGTTTTCATCAAGTCACCAATGCTTTTGGGACTTGGGATCCATTTAATTCGGCTTAGTCTTAGAGGCGGCCAATAACTTCAGCCGACTTTCCGTTCACCTTAATGTCTCTGCTTCCCTATAAATAGCTTTAGTTCATTTGAATCTTTAGATTCTTCAGCATCTTTGTTTCTTCTTTGAGTTCTTTGTCATTTTTTATCTCACCTACCTTAGCTTCCAGAATTTCCTTGGAAACAACCACCTTTTCATTGTCTTCGGGACTTCCGATTCTTGCAGATTCTTCGCCCTTTTTACTGCTTCAGCTTACTTACTTGCCTATATCTTCATTGATTATTCCGTTTTCCTCAGCATTATCGAAGTCCTAATTTTCTTCGCGCCATTTTTTTCTTATTTTTCGGTTTACAATGGCATATTCCATTACTTTTCTCGCCTTCTTTGGGTTTCTCACACCCCTTAACAACAATTAATTTTTGATTTGATTTTTCCCTTGGCTCTTTTAAATGCTTTCCAAGCTTCTTCAACTTCCTCGATCTCCTGGACTTCATCATCATCTTTTGCCGTTTCAATACATTGAGCTGCAATACATTAAGTATCCTTATATGATATCTAAGTTTTCATTTGCTATTGACCTCGCATAATAAATCATAGAAATACATTTTGAGTCATCTAGTAAATGAATATCGCAAACGTTTGACTTTGAACAGCGACCGACCTTTGGACTTTGAACGGGAAGCAAACTTTGGACTTTGAACAGCCACCAACCCTTAGACTTTGAACGGTGAGCAACCGTTGAACCTTACACTGCCTTAATTTCGAAGATCACCACACCACAAGCAATCTTTGATCCACTTTCCAAGGTTACGAATGCGGTGGGTGACCTTTGATCTTTACCTTTACCTACCTTCCAAGGTGACAGTCAGTTGGTGAGCGACCTTGAACGATCCAGGTACGACCCTTATGATTCTTCGGATTCGACAGTTTCTTTAGTTATTGTGCTTCAGCTGCTTCATTTTCTTCCAAGAGTGTAAAGAGATCAAAACAAACCATCAAATTGTTTGCCTTGGCCTCCGTCATTCAAGCTACTCGTTTAACTTCACAGATATTGATGCAATTTTTTATATTTGATTCTGTATTCGTCTGTGACCTCGTCTTGACCTCCTTCAACTTTTTCTACCATTTTTATGTATGTCTAAAACATGGGATTTACCTAAAATCTGAAAGTGAAAATAGCTCAAAGGGCACAAAAACTCCGAATTTCTTACAAATTTAGACTAACTTTATTGCCACACCCCGCGGAACAATCCCAATTGACTTGCACAGGTTCATTGTATGATGCACTGCCTACCGTTGTAAGTCAAGAGGTTAGACTAATAGGATTTGAAACAGGAATCCGGACAAACCAATTATACTGAAGGGATTTAGTATACCTTTTTAGAACTACTCACCAATCGTTAAATGTTATAATTACCCACTTTTGCAAATAATAATTACCTTTTCAAAGAGTGATAGCTTTGCTTCCAATCAATTTTTTTCTCCGGATCAACAACCATATCCATCTGTTGATTAGTAAAATGAAACCTACAAAGCTCCCTCCAAACGCGTTGCTCATCGACGAGCACCGCCAACTGATTTGACGCTTGCGAGCTGGCGGTCAAGTCTCGATGGTCCGACAGTCTCAAGATGACCTCTCGAAGGCATTCTTCCGGAAGCTGCAATAATTTGGGGTTCATTTCGGGGCTCGGCTCGCGAATTTGCATGTTAGCTGCCATCGATAGTATACGTTCGATTGTGGCCGCGTGCTGATGCCAGAGTAGCTGCGAGCCCAGAGGCCCTCCCCAGCACGCAGCCCTTTCGGCGGACCTCAACGCGCGAAGGTTCGCTATCAGTTTTCGTAAACCGCGCGGATTGTGTTGTATTGCGATCGCGTGAGCTGCCACCTCTTCTAACATCGAAAGTAGGGCCTTTTGGGCACAGCCTGATAAAGTTATCATTTGTTGACCGACTAGTAACTCTAGGAAAGCGCATATGTAATTAAATCTACGAACGTCGTGTACCGCACTTCGAAAGTCTAATTGTTTCACTGCCTCGTCCAATTCGTTAAAGCCTGCAATCTGATTTCGCGCGGATGTTAGCTTTCTCACTCTCACAAGTGAACATTAAACTTACCTCTCTAGTGCACTTTATTGTAATTTGGCAGTGTGGCTGTACCGATGAGTCTCCGTCATCAGTCTCTTCAATTGATCCTTGTTCCCTAAAATGGAGAAACTTGCATGAGAAATGGCAGGAATCTATTTTTGCAGAGATTTTGTTCATATCTTTAATTTATGTAATTCACGTGGACGTTACTTTGATGTCAGCACCTTTAATAAGGTTGGGCCACCGTGTATGTAAATGTTTTACCTTGTTTTTTTACGAATAAACAGAGTTGGTTTGTTTTACTTAAATTTGTATTTCCGGATTTGGCTTTCCTTTTAGAAATGTTTTCGTTTTAATGTTAAAAATAAGACTACGTCAATTGAGATAGCGCGTGGTCAATGCAATGTCATAGTTGTCAGAGCACAGTAGCAGTGCTTTAATTAAATCAGCTGCCGCACCCTTAAATAAAGTCTTGAGGTATTAAAGTTTATGAATGGATGAAATCGAACTGTTTGCATTTATTATGCATTCAAATGAATTTCTAAACCCCAATTTTCATACGAGCCGTCAAATTCAGCAATGCGTAATCGCTTTATTTCAAGAAATGGACCCGTCAATTGGTCGAATCGTTAGTGCGATTTGACACATTTGGATTATTTTATTTGGGGGTTTTTTGGAGGCATAGTCTACGCCAATAAACCAGCTACGCGTTTGGATGTAAAGACATTGGAATAGTTTTATGTGGATATGCCATTCAAAAACCCAAAACTTGCATAATGACAGACAAACAGCAACTTTGTTTCAATTTTGTGGCATTACTTGAACGTATAAAGAATCCGGGCGGACGGACGAAGAAGCGACAGTTTCGTTTAATGGGCGAATGAGTGGGTTGCATTTCTAGGGAACAGTTAAAAACAAAGCAACGTACCTACTTATTCTATTTTTAAAGATTAATTAACATAGCTACACACACAAATTTGGTAAATTTTTAGAAAAACGAGACGTTATTGCCCGTACATTAACAAAAAAAAGAACAAATATTTTTAGTAAATATGCGCAATACTTTCGTCGAACTCGGAAAATTTCCCCTAGTTCTATTTTTGTCCGCACAACAAAATTAACTCCAAGTAATGCACCGAATTAGAATTAAGACGTACACTAATGATGGAAAACTTACTCTATGCAAGAAAATGACTTATTTACTGATACAATGTAGTAATGAATACACCCAGTAGAAAAGTAGAATGGGTTAGAATAAAGACATAATTAGTTCAACCCGACTGGTTCTGTCTAAATGCTTTTTTATAATCTGTTACTTTGTTGATGGGCACTCACCGGAAAATTAACAAGTTAAAATTCTACTAAATAACTGAAATTTTTGAGCAACCCCTTGAACACACAAATGCGGCTTTGCATTCAGCCCAGCTTTACTGACGAAATCCCAAGCCTTCTGTGAACAAAGAGCTAGGGTTGTTGTGGTCCTGTAAATGAAAAATAAATTTCAGGGAATATTTTACCTAAACGAGGCAAATAATGTAACAATTACACCAGAATAATTGGTGTTGTTTCCATCCATCTATTGGTCAAAAAGGTCTCCTTGTGACAGATTAGGCTTGCTCATTTTCAAGACTGAGAACTTTGCAGCACCCTGTATAACTTTTTTGACCATTTGTTGCCTAGTAGCAGAAATTGGATGTTTTTATTCCCATCCTGAAAAGAATTAGTCTCTATCTTCATCAAATTTAGTGCGTTTCGCATAGTGTGTAGATAAAAAGCCTGGAAGCCGGCCTCCCTCATTACAGACCTCTTTTATTGCAGAAGAGACATTTTGAGAACCGAAGGTCACATTAGGTTCAATGAATGCCGCCCGCGATATCTCGATTAGCGTCGAGTTGTTATAATACAGGCGCTAGTTATCGTTCTGCATTTCTTTCTAAGTCCACTCATTTCCAGAGTCAATTTTAAGGGGTACAAGATTTTTTAGGTTACCACGCTTGAAAATGGCCAGTCCCTTTTTTTAGCCCTTTTAAATGGTAAACATGCAAGGTGTTAATTAATTGAGCGCCGATAATGCAGGGTGTGAATCTTTGGGTGATTTTAAGGGGAAAAGTTTATATCAACATAAGTATATCCTAAACCTCTTAGTTTTTGAGCTACAGCGTGTTATCAAAAAAGAGTGTTTTTATCATCATTTTTTATCTTAGATATTTTTATGAAATTTTGTGCGTTAAGGAGCATTTTTTGACGTAAAAGATTTGTTTAAATTTTCACCAGTGACGTCCGTACACGGTTTGAACAGACAATTTTTGAAGAAAAAAATGGTACGCCACTGATTTTTATGAAACCAAAACTATTTTTGAAATCCCCGTTTATTTTGGAGTAAATATGGTATTCCTTCACTTACAGCAATTACCCCTGAAATTCAGAAAAATTCTCCTGGAGATATTCCATCGGAAATTCACCCCTAGAATATTATCTCCCGGAACATTCGCTTCTCATTTTTTAAAAAGTGACATTTTGTTATTACCTGTCAACAGAGATAAAATGTCAATATCTCCAAGAGAATTTGTGAAGGAATTTGTTTAAAAATAACGTAATTGGCTCCCAAAAACTCGCTTTCGGAATATGGATCCTAGCATATCCTAAGAAAACATACCCTAAATAAATTTGCTCACGTGAAAACCCGATGACACGGAAAATTGGCCACCTGCGGCATTTTCCGTCTCAAGGTTCATTCGAAGAATCAATTATTCTGGATCGTGTATAAAAAGTGCACCTGCATTGTGAAAATCCTATGATTTCCCTGAGAACGATTTCTATGACTAAAAGTGATTCAAAATTTGGATTACGCTTCAGGAGACTGAGCATCGAGCTTTAGCCGTCTGCGGGATTTCGCGCCTCCAGGGAGTCTTTTATCTTTACCTTGGTGGTGAATATTCCAGAAACTTGATATTCTAGAATGGAAATAAGCCTAGAGAAATTTATAGGAATGAATTTTAGAAGAGAAAATTTCCGTGGCTGTGAAGTGGCACTATAATACTAATATTCTATAAAATGTAAGGATGATATTATTGTCCCTATGACCGTCGGTTTACCCTATATAAGAATATCCGGGGTAGAAACAAGTAGGACTACGTAACTCGTTGCCCAATGCAGAATCACGTTCCTACTTGGGTTAGTTACAGCACTTGCCAATTAAAATTTTTTAATTATATGTACTGCGATTCACTGAAAATCCCCATTTCGTCGTGTGTCATTCAAGGAAATTACGCTGAATTACTCTAATTACGAGCAAATTGTGTAATTACAGGCAAACAATGTCGCTACAATCTTCTTGTGCAATATTAAGATTATACAATCGCATTAGAAAAGTTGAGCAGACGTCCATAAAACCAAAGTGAATGAAACTATGATTGCCAAATAGAAGTAATACTTGAGGTGTATCTGTATAATTAGGAGCAGTTTCAAATACCTACCAGAATAGTGGTAATTGTAGGTCTAGAAAGATTGAAAGATGATTTTTATTAAGTGAATCAATAAAACTACACGCGATTTGGTTAATTTCTTCTCAATATTTTTTTTAAATTAGAACGTTTACCCAAAATCGTCCTGAAACCTTCATTTTCGTGCCTACTTTATGTCCGGAAATTTTAGTTTCCATGACAGTGGCAGAACAGACTACGTTTCCTACCGCTTGTCACTTTACTGGCCGCACCTGTCACTTTACCGGCCGCACCGTCACTTTACCGGCTGCATCTGTGACATTACTGTCTATAATCACTCCCGTAATCACTAACAGATTGACATTAATCAAAAGTTCTATATAAAAATTGAAATTTTATATTAACAGACAATTTCCGGTAAAATTTAATACAAAACTCGTCAGTAAAATGACATTGCTTGACTCGGAAATTAAAGTACTCGGCCCCAAAGGCCTCGCATTTCAATGTTTCCTCGACAGTAATGTGTCATTTTCCGGACTTTTGTGTAAATAACTATTGTGTCGGTACCGTAATGTTTATTATTAAAACAAGCGTTAAAATTTAGGATAGAGATAAAAAAATAAATATTTTAAATATTTTTCCAAGTAACACCTATTTCCAGTATAACCGAAAGTCATACAAGACGGAAAATTTTTATATCCCATAAAAGGTATCACAAAGTACTAGAAACCGTTTCGATAGTTTGCAGGGTGAGTTAAATGAACAAGTATGGCGCCACCCCCAACATTTGCAAATGTGCGGAAAGTTTTGGACATCGTTTGGATATGTTCCAGGAAACATGTACATGTACACTTATGTGGCAAATTTATTTTTCATGGTAAAAATGGGTTACCATAAATACAACCGCTTTCAAGTAATCAATTTTCAAGGTACCGTCTGCATCCGCCATTTTTTTCCTTAAAGTAATAACTAATAAATAACTGAAAAACCATAAATTGTAGATATCGACATGGGGGAATCAAAAGAACTGAAATTTCACGTAGAATCCAAAAATGCAATTCATAACAAAACTGAAGCATAAAATGTGTTTGCTTTAAGAAACCTCGATCCATCGCACAAAAAACATTGGACCTGGATGCTAGCAAATAGCAAAGTGTAATTCTATTCTTACACTGTGCCAGTAGCTGTGAGAATAAAGTTTTATATTCTTCAAGCGACCGGCGAGCAAGATGGATGTGGAAAATATACAGAGTGGCTAAGAAAGATGAAATCAGAGCACTGGTGTGAAACGGTTGGAGATATCGGTTTGAATGTTTTACGACTTAAATAAGATGTGTTTGTGCATATTCTATCATGAAAAGACACGGCCACCATTTGTTTTTTTCTAAATGGCAACATAGGCCTTGCGAGACATCGATTAAAAGCTTATTTTACCATCATTACGAATATGCAATAGGAAAAATTCAACTAAATTTTAATAAAATATGAAAAACAGTCTCAAGAAAAATTTTTGATTTGTTATTTTTTACGCGAAAACTGTACGTCGTACGAAAGTAAGTCGAGGGACCATATTTGCTCCAAAATAAATGAGGATTTCAAAAATAGTTTCGGTTTCATAAAAATCAGTGGCGTACCATTTTTTTCTTCAAAAATTGTCAGTTCTTTTACGTCA